TGTTAGTGTTTCTGTGTGTGCGTAATGTCAGGGAAAAGTTAGGTCATTAGCCCCAATGACCAGCATAAATGCAATTGTAACGAGCAATCTCCATGATGGTTAGCACTCCTTGGGACTAGCTGAGCATTGCAGGAATTATAGTTCACAACATGTTTTAAAGCCAAACCTATCACATATTTATTGCAATTGACATGCAAATCATCATGATGGATAAGCGTCATGGGAACTGTATATCACATACATTTTTGTAAACCTCTTAGGGCTCTCCTTACTTCCCCCTTATTTATCTCTCTCTAGCCTACTCCCAGTTTTCTCTCACAAATTTATCCACAATTATCCTCCCCTCTGCCACACTCCGTAGGCCCTCCAAACCTCTTACCCAAACCATTTTCAAGTTGTTTGCCAAACAAAGATATCACATGAACAAGTTTCATCTTACTCATTTTACAATGAATATAAGTGTAAGGGTAAGCAGGATTCAGTTTGGCATTGGCATATGGGTTAACAGTGATCCTGCACAATCACATATCACTTTTACTGATAAAATATTTTGGTTGCATAATGGTAAATGTACGCCTCACAGAATAAGTGCAGTGGTTATGGTGCTTTGAGCACGACCTAAAAATCTTTCTCTGTTTTCAGATAACCATAGAAACTGCAAATCATAGAATTATAAATAATTAACTGTACACAAGCTTTAACATGCTTTAACATTTGGTGAATCATTTTCCCTATGAAGCTAAATATATCATGCTCACAGAGGATCTGGTTCAGAATTTCTGCAGTATCCTTTAATAATAATAATAATATTACGCAGAAAGAAACGCTGTATATAAAATGATAACTGGAATAGGAAAGGCCCTAGGGTGATGTAGTTACTGGTGTGGAGTGTGAGAGGGGAAATGGCATGATGTGTGTTCAATAAACCTGCTGACCTGGATCTGTTATGTTCAGAATATTTTGGTTTGGCAGGATATGTGTTCTCATCCCTACTCACCTTGTGTCTCTACAGGAGACCTTGAGGTCAGTCCTCAGAGCATTTTTCTACACATATACCTTTCATAAAACAGAATTAAAGGGACACTCCACAGGCCAAATCCCCCCAAAAAATCGTCATGTAGTGGATATTCTCCAAATGAAAACATGTATGTATTTAAAGGAACACTATAGGGTTAGAATAGAAAAACTATATCCCTAACACAGTGTCCCAATGCTCTGCTGGACTTCCCACCCTCCATCATGACAGGTTTGAAAACCCTTTCTTTCACTTACTGAGGTGGCGCTGGCTGGGACTCCTCCTCCCACGATGTGACGGCGATGGGGGAACCTAACGCGCATGCACAGCTAGGCCCGCACACACATTAAAACTTCCCAGTAGGAAAGCATTGAATCAAGATTGTTAAGCCTCTGGACGCCCTCATGCAAAGTGTGAGGACTTCCAGCCCCGTTTCACAGAGAAACACCGTGTGAATTGAGGAAGTGCCTCCAGCAGCTGTCTAGAATAACTTGTTTGGTGCTTGGGATGTCCATTGTATATTCAATATAAGATATAAGTGAAATGTATCCAATGTTTAGTGTATGTTATCAGATTGAATTTCAAGTACAGGCTCTTGATTTTATAGGGCTTTGCTGGGGAAGGGCGGCCGAGGGGTTACTGCCCCAGATGTGGAACTCTGAAGCCATGCATCTTTATTCTGTTTATAATTTCCCTTACCTGCCAATCCTTTGGTATTTAATTTCTTCCTCTTAGTGCTGCAGTGCAACTGTAGCTGCTGGTGAAGTTTTGACTACTGTTTCCTCTGCCAGATCTCATTAATGAAGTTCTGGCCCACTTGTTCAATCTGTTGTTGATTTGTACAATCTGACTGTTTGTTGACATATTTTTATGAATATTTTGTGTCTCTGTCTTTGCACACATGTGTTGGGATATCCCTCTGTCCTTAGTTTGTTTTTATATGTGTCTGTGCATTTCCATGTTTTCAGCATTGCATGGCTATGCCTGTATGTCTGTAAATCAATGCAATGTAAGAATTCACCACCATGTATTAGATTGCAAGGCACAAAATCAATACACAATTAAATATAGGGCTGTATAAAAATTAACTTTTATTGAATTATACCCTAAAAGGATATACACCAACAGCTACATCAGCCAAGTCAAATATAATTCAATCCAAAACCAAAAAACTACAAAAATCAATACCACTTACAGTTAGAGAATTTAGACTTGGTATATTCAACCTTGACCCAATATTATAGCAAAACACTAAAACCTTTCTCAGAGGAGCTGTCTGTATTGTTGTTTGTGTGCCTGTATGATTATATCTTTCTTGAATGAGTATGTCCTTACATGACACTGTGTCTGTAGTTGTTTCTGTCTGTATTTGTGTATTTCTCTATGTGCATATGTCTTCTTCTGTCCTTGTGTAAGTGTCTGTACATGTGACTCTTTATCTGAATGTGTCATTGTGTATAATGTATTGTGAATGAACCTGTGTTTCTATGTATATGTCTGCTTTACAATTAGAGAAAGAGGCGAGGAAGGCCCTGCTCAATTGAGCTTGCAATCTACATATACTGATCAGCCACAACATTAAGACCACCTGCCTAATATTGTGTAAGTCCCTCTCATACTGCCAAAATAACTCTGATTCCATGATGTGGGGCCTTTATGGATAAGATTTGTTGTTTCAGCACATCCTACAGTTGTTCAATTGGATTGAGATCAGGGCAATTTGAAGAACAAGGCAACACCATTCCTGATCAATTTTTGCAGTGTGGCAGAGTGCATTATCCTGCTGAAGGAGGGCACTGCCATCAGGGAACCCCAATGCCATAAAGTGGTACATGTCAAAGTAACATCCACATGAATTCCAGGACCAAAGGTTTCCCAGCAGAACATTGCCCAGAGCATAACACTGCATCCCCCAGCCTGCAATCTTCCCATAGTGTAAGCTGCTACCATCTCTTCCCCAGGTAAAAGACATACACGAACCCGGCATCTGATCTACGCCAGGGTGACCTTCTTCCATTGCTCCATGGTCAAGTTCTGATGCTCACATGCCCTTTGAAGGCACTTTTGGCAGTGGACAGGGGTCAATATGGGAAATCTGACCAGTCTGCTGCTGCACAGCCCCATACACATCAAACTGAGATGCACTGTATGTTCTGACACCTTTCTAGGATGGCCAGCACTAAGTTTCTCAGCAATTTGAGCTACATTAGCTCTTCTGTATGCTCGGACCAAGCAATCTTGCTTTAACTCCCCATATGCATCATTAAGCCTGATACCAGTTCACCGGTTGTCCTTCCTTGCACCACTTTTGGTAGGTACTAACCACTGCATACCAGGAACACCCCACAAGACTTGCAGGCATACCCAGCTTTTGCCTATCTTATCCAACCTTTTGCCACTTTTTTGTTTTGTACAGACATGGCTAACATAATTTTGGACTTCCAGATCCAGACAGACAAGCAAGTACTGGCCAACCAACTCAGCATCATGGTGGTAGACAAGGAAAGGAAGCCTGCAGTGCTGGTGGATGTAACAATACAAAGTGACCATGAAATTAAAAACAAGTAACACAAGGAGATGGACAAACACAAAGAGCTGAAAGAGGAGCTAGAAAGAATGTAGAAAGTAAAGATACTCTAAATATACCACAGTTAAAACAAATTTCTCTGTATCCAAGCAGACAAAAAATATAGAAAATGATAAAAACTGATATGAACAGGAGACATTTGCTAAGGGCATTAATGTAAATAGGGGTGGCATTCCAGTCAGAATAGGTTTAGATTATGATGGTTTAGCAACAAAAGAGATCTGGAGGTTTATCATTCTGCATTTTTCGTTGGGCAAATGTTTATGTTTCACACAAATTTAACAATGACTTTTATGTTAACAGACCACATATTCTGGCAGCGTTTCAAGAACTGCCAGCCATTTGGGGAGGAGAACTTAAATGGAAAGTATCATTCATAAACAACACTGCAAGATTAAGGAAAAAGTTATACTTTACATAGGATGGTTTGGTGGGCAATGGTTCTTCAGAACTAGCTCCGTGCAACTGACCTCTGTGCTTTATTACCTACCAATATTGTTCAATGGGATTTATGGTAACAATGTTAGTGTTACAGTTACATCCTAAACTATATTAAAAGAAAACTCAAAGTACCAGAATGAACACAACACATTTGTGGACCCTAACTTATCAGGGATCCATCCCGTGCTGGTCTGGTGCTCTGGAGCCTTGAAGCTTCTACAAATTTCTACCTTTAGATCCCCTGAACTAAGCCTTGCAGTGTGATGGCTGGCTTATTGGCTGGTGCACAGCAAACCCCAGGTAAGTGTTCAAACTGTTCACAAACAGCGTAACTATTAATTATAGACAAACCTGGCACCATAACCACTACAGTGCTCTGTAGTAGGTATTGTGATTGGAGTGTTCCTTTTAGATTGATCAGGAGGCGTGTGAAGAATAATTGGTTGAAGTAATTTTCTTCTGTTATGGAAGTTAGAGACAAACCAAGGAGAGAGTATTTTAATGCAAATAATTTCTTAGAAGTTCAAATACCTCTAACCAGAAGAAACAAAAATCAGTGTTGCTACATGGACACAAGTTCTGCATAAATTATTGGTCACATCACAAAATCGTTTTTCTCATTGTGTATTCTTGGCAAATTTGCTTCACCTACATCCTTTGACACCTTAAATGAAGCAAATGGCATCCA